TCTCTCCCTTGCTCTCTCTCTCTCCTCCTTTCTCTCATTCTTTCTTTCTCTCTCTCTCTCTCCCTCTCTCTCCCTCTTTTTCTTTCTCTCTCTCCCTTGATCTCTCTCTTCTCTCTCTCTCTCCCTTCCATTGCTTTCAGTTTTGCAATACAAATGCGAAACCTTCTCCTTTTTCCATGTATGTCGTGGATGAACATTGATAAACAGAGGGGACAAATTCTGTGGTATTGTTAAATGTTTGCAAGAACCTCTGCCATCGTGTGTTCTCTGTGGGTGAATCTCCCTTTATTTTTTCTTCCGCTCTTGAATTTTGCCTTGAATTGAAAAACTGTGTTCCTTACAAGCCTTCCCCCCCTCCATGTATAATAATTATTTCAGTTGGATAGCATGGAACCTGTTCTGTTTTTGGCTCTGCCACTGTCCCCTGTTTAACAGGGAAAAGGAAGAAGCTGGAACTATTTGTCACACGAGAAGGAAAAGTTGATTGCTAGTCAACTTTTCTCCCGCAAAGAAGTCTTTTTACCTCTTAGCTTGTGAGATTGCACTCAAAGTTTCTCGTGAAAGAGCAGCGATTAAAACGTCATTCTTTGTGCCCTAGGAAATATTGCAACACCCCCTCGGACATTTCAATTTAAACGTATCCCAAATATATCACCAGTCATGATTCATGTATTTTTATTTTTAATTTTTTGGGCTGGGAGATGTTTCCACACAGGTTTCTCCTGTGCTGTTGACTTGATTTGATTTGGGTTTGTCTAGTCCAGAGAAAAGAAGGACTAGGGGGGACATGATAGCAATAGTCCGGTATTTGAGAGGTTGCCACAGAGAGGAAGGGTTTAACTTATTTTCCAAAGCACCTGAAGGCCAGACAAAAAATAATGGATGGAAACTAATCAAGGAGAGAACCAACCTGGAACTAAAGAGAAACGTCCCAACAGTAAGGACAATCAACCAGAACTTCTGGAGGGTTTTTAAGAAGAGACTGGACAGCCATTTGTCTGAAATGGTCTAGGCCAGGGGTAGGCCACCTTGGCTCTTTTTATGACTCGTGGACTTCAACTCCCAGAATTCCTGAGCCAGCCATGCTGAGGGGAAAGGGAGAGGTTTCCAAGCTGAGCCATGCTGGCTCAGGAATTCTGGGAGTTGAAGTCCACAAGTCGTAAAAAGAGCCAAGGTTGCCTACCCCTGCTATAGGGTCTCCTGCTTGAGCAGGGGGCTGGACTAGAAGACCTCCAAGGTCCCTCCCAGCTCTATTCTGGCTGATTGATGGGATCACTCTTGACGGGCTGAACGCAATACTTTCCCACGCCAAAATTCTTCTTTAATTTGTGGAATCTAATCTTGGGTTAGTACACTTTGAAAGGAGCTATCCTGAAATCAAAACCAAGACAGGGATCTTTGACCTTGAACGTACAATCCTTGCAACCCTCATAAGGCTGTAGAGTTTTGATCATGATCGGCTTCTAGAGAAGGTTTTGAAGATTTGTGTTTCTTTGCTTGCTTGCTTGTGGGTTTCTTCAATTTCTATGTCAATTTCTATGTCCATCTCAGTCAATGGCTGAAGATTAAAGAGAAAGGTGTAGTTTAGAGATAAAATCTGCTCGGCTCAGGTTTAAACTATGTTCCCTCCAGGAAGAAATGAGAAAAATTTACATTTTTAGTAAAGTCAGTGATTGTCTCCGTTAGCATGGACTAACGGTCTAAATTTGTAAGAGCCAAGCGTTATATTCCACAACGTGAAATCTTTTTTTCTTTCTTCTTTCTTTCTGACAAATCATGCAATGTTGTCAGAATGACAGAAATGGGGATGTTCTCTCAAAAATACCCAGGACGTTTTTAAAGACTGTTCTACTGAACTGGAATACAGTTCTGGTAATGAAGCAACAAAGAGAAACGTTTTTGCATGTGTGCAGTGGGCGTTTTTGGCCACTGAAAAACAGATGGAGCTTTTCTGGGCAGGGGGTTGGACTAGATGATCTACAAGGTCCCTTCCTGGATCTAGACCAAATCACACCCAGAAATGGTGTGTTGAAATTAGCTCAGGAACCTTTCGCTGATTTAACTGGACGTGATAAGTTTGGA